GCTTAAGTGGAGAGCAAATGTTTTGAGAATGATGAGGGCAACAGATGTACAAATGTGCTTGACACAATGGATGGATGGATGGATTGTGATAAGAGTTGTATGAGCCCCCAATCAAATGATTTTTTTTAAGTGCATTTAAAGCGATTGAAAATGCCAAGGTTGGGTTAGGCGCACCTGAGTCCTGAAAGTGCCATCTTTCCTCTTTAACACTTAGAACAGGTCTTGAGTAGCAGATTAGTCCATCGTTTGATTTCTTGCCAGCCTCTTCCAGGAATGTTGATTGTGGATCTAAGTAAGATGAAATCCTGACCATTTTCATCTTTCCGCCGTTTATCAAGATGCTGTCCAGTTGCATGCACGTGGGTTTCTTTACATGGGTTTTCTTGACATTGAATTGTAATCCCTACTGAAGGCTCTAGTCTTTCATCAGCAAGATGATCAGTCAGCAATCAACACGTGCTTCTGTTTTCAGCAAGCGAGGTTGTGCCTCCTGCATACTGAAGGTTGTTAATGAGCTGTGGTCGTTACATAATCTCATGTCAACTTGATCAATAAGTGTAGTGGTGGAGTTTAGCCTGTCAATCAGGTTATAACCTGATAATGCCTCCTGTGGGTGGGGCCTTCTCATGAGGGTTCTGGGAACTTCCTCTCTTTCTCCCTGAGAGCAGGCTGTATACTCTATGTCTGTTTCTCCTTCCTGTTGATAAGCCACGTGGAGCCATGCTGAGACCTGCGAGAGTGCTGGAGATGCTTCTACCACCACTGGATCCACAAGACTTTGCATCCTTTGGCCTGTGATCTTCCTGCATTTTGGCATCATTGCGTGTGCTGTGTGAGTCTGAAGAGAGATTTATGGTGCGGTGGCAGATGTATGGGCTAATATTGGGCTTATGAACTTGATCTGGACTGGGCTGGGATGTTATCTTAACATACAATTACTTCTTGATATAAAGCTCCTTCTTATATCTATATGAGTATTGGTGAATTTCTTTCTTTAGACAACCCGGTCTAATACATGAGCTCTCCTCCAATCCTGATGCTGAATTATTCTTCATATAACCCAGCTTTAGGGATCATTTACTCAGCATACAGGTTGAATAAGTATGCTGAAAGGATCCAACTTTGACACACACCTTTCCTTTCCTGATTTTATACCCTATGATATCCTTGTTCAGTTCAAATGATTGTCTCTTGCGCTATGGACAGGTTCCTCATGAGCACAATGACGTGTTCTGGAACCCCCCCCCCCATTTTAGTCCATAGTTGGCTGTGCTCCACACAGTCAAATGCTTTTGCATAGTTAATAAAACACAAGTAAACATCTCTCTGGTAGTCTCTGCTTTCAGCCGAGACCCACCTGATGTCAGCAATGATTTCCATCCATCGTTGCGTGTCCTCTTCTGAATCTGGCGTAATTTCCGGCAGCTCCCTGTCAATGTACTACTGCAGTCATTTGTGGAATCATCAGAAAACTTTTACTTGCATGTGATATTAGTGATATTGTTCGATAGTTTGAGCATTCTGTTGGGTCACCTTTCTTTGGAATGGTCACAAATATGGATCTCTTCCAGCTGATTGGCCAGGTAGCAGTCTTCTGGACGTGTTGGCATAGCCTAGTGAGTGTTCTCAGCATTGCATCCATTTGTTGAAACACTTTTATTGGTATGTTGTTCATTTCTGGGCCCTTGTTTTTCACCAGTACCTTCCTTGGTTCTGGATCGTATGCTTCCTCTTGAAATGGTTGGACATTGACCGGTTCTTTTGAGTCTAGTGGGTCTGCATTTCTTCTCTCTTCTTTTGATGTTTCGTGTATCATAGAATCCTTTAATATTGCACCTCAGGGCTTGATTTTCCCCTTTAGTCTTTTCTGTTTGCGATATGCTGAGTGAGTTTTTCCCTCTCAGCTTTCTAAATTATAATTCTTTACTTTGTCTTCTTGAAGCACCCTTTGAAGTTTTCTGTTCAGCCCTTTTACATCATTATTTCTTTCACTCTCTTTAGTTAGTCTACATCCTAGAGCAAGCGGCAGGGTTTCTTCTGACATCCACTTTGGACTCTTCTTTCTCTCCTGTCTTTTAAATGACCGTTTGCTTTCTTTATGTTTGATGTTGTTGATAGTCTCTCTCACATGTCTAATCTTTGGTCATTAGTGTTCAGTGTATCAAATCTGTTCTTGAGTTAGTCTCTAAATAGAGTTGGGATATGTTCCAGATTATATTTTGGGTCTCATTGACTTGTTTTCCTTCTCTGCAGCTTCAACTTGAACTTGCCTATAAGAAACTGTTGTTCTATTTCTCCATCACCTTCTGGCCATGTTATAATATTGAGTCAAAATGTGATCCCTCAAATATGTTCCTTGTTTCTTTGGTTTGGAAGAACAAAAAGGAATCACCCATTATTAGACATCAGAGCATGGTATATTGTATGACTATCAAATCTTTTAATCTACATTAATTTCACTTTCTAAGCAAAGTATGCTTCCTCCAGTTCCCAGGTTAGGGGAGTCCTGTCAGGGTAAGAGTATAGGTGCCTCAAGTGCTTTCTTGTCAAGCTTCTTGTCCTCCTTAGTCATTTGAAAACCTGAATTCTGGAAACCCACACTGATAAGATCTAAAAAGCTTGCCTATTTTCCTATAAGACAGTGGTTCTCAACCTTCCTAATGCCGCGACCCTTTAT